TTTATATAATTAATTAATTGTTATATATAGTAACTGGGTTCCCAAGGGGCGACTGGTGAGCTTGAACTGCAGATCTCTGGTTCAAATCGACTTTGCAGTCCAGCGCATTAAGCCACAACGCCACACCAGGACTCCATATAATTAATTAGAACACTAAATGCTTTCTACCAACTAGCATTATGAGGGAATCTATGCTAAATACGTCTTTTGGTTATTAAATAATTGTACAATAATTAGAATCAAAGAATAACAGCAATGTTCATCTATATGCTTTTCTCGAAGGGTTGGAAAAAACTGCGTCAAAAGTAAGTGTGGCCATTCCGGTTAGGCGATAATCTAAACTTCTGCTGAAGTTGGAACTCCCAGTATGTGGGGGTGTTTGAGGGGATTTAATCATTGAGCTCGGAGTCCTGGCGCGGCGCTGTGCGTTAATGTGCCAGACTGCAAAGTCGTTTGAAACATAAGGTCGATGGATTCAAGCCCACTAGTCGCTCCTTGCAAACCCTATACAGGTCGCTATGGGTCGGAACCGACTCGACGGCACTTAATAACTACAACCATCATATTGAGCTCAAATGTAACAATTGTGATGATGGTGCAGGACCGGGCAGTTTCTTTCCTCGGTGCATATAAGGTGGCCAGGAGTCGGAAGCGACTCATCCGCACCTAACAACCACAGCTGATTTTCGACAGAACTTTGTAAATTTAGCACTCCTGCTCTGGTAGCGTAGCGGTTACGAACCGGTCATCAGTTCGGAACTACCAGCTGTTCCGAGGGAGAAAGATGAGACTTTCTGCTCCCGTAGCGATTTACAGCCTCAGAAACCCTGTGCAGGGTCGCTATGCGTCAGAACCGACTCCACGGCACATAACAATTAATTATTCATACACCTACATCAAAACAGGAGCTCTGGTAGCGGTTACGAGTTGGACTGCTAACCTCAAGATCAGCAGTTCTAAGCTACCAGCTGTTCCGCGGGAGAAAGATGAGGCTTTCTGCTCCCGTAGAGATTTACAGCCTCGGAAACCCTACCCTGGGCTGCTCTGAGTTGGAACCGACTCCACGGCACACAACCACCGCCACCAAAACAAAAAACAAGGTTGGGGCGGGGGGAAACAGAAAGGCTTAAGTAAACAGAATTTAAAGTCAAAGTACCCGTTCAAGTTCCCAACAACTTCGTCGCTACTCTCAAATTCCCTCAGCCTCTGAATGTTGCAAGATTGTTAACAAACGTTATGCATTTAAGCAGTGCCAGGCACTACGCGCCTCTATGTACACTGCTTGCCAGGTGGAAAAATCAGAAGCGACGCGAATTTAGATAAACAAAAACAGGTTCCCGAAAAAAGCCCAACCGTGTCCCGGCCGGGAGAACGCTTCACACTGGAGCCTCGAGTTGGATTCTGCACGGAACGCAGACTCGGCCACGACGCAAGCCTGAGGAGGGTGCTTCTGTTCCTGGCCCGCGACACCCTGCCTTACCGAAGCGCCGCGCCAGGTCGCCCACGAGCAGAAAGCTTGCCCACGGCTGGCAGCTGAATCGGCCTAGGCTGCATGGCACGAACCACCCAACCGCCACCCTCCCACCGGGCCCTTCGTGGACCAGTACGGCACCGGAAATCGCGCGCCGGAAGGAGGGCCGCCCGGAAATGATGTCACCGGAACCTGCGTCTTCTTCCCCTCAGCCGGAAGCATCTCCGGAATTCTACCGTCTTTGAGTGCTGGAGGCAAGTAGCGCCCGAGCGCCACCGTGTGGTTTCGGGAGGCTCAGTAGTCTGGGCACGCCATCTCCGCTGAGGTGGGCTGATGATGCCTAGGGTCCCCACCCTCCTGAATCATAGTCAACCCAGCTAGCTATGTGGTTCCTTCCCTGACCCTTCAGAGCTGGGTTAAGTAGCTCAGTGCTGCTCTCTGGACGCAGATGCTAAGACCCTAGGGTTACCAGGTTCAAAATCCCAAATTCACTTAGGCAAATACCCACCAGCACCCATCAGGTGTTCTGGTAGCGTAGTGTTTATGTATTGGATCAGTAGTTTGAAAGTACCAGCTGTTCCGCGGGAGAAAAAAGAGGTGTTCTGCTCCCATAAACATTTATAGCCTCGGAAACCCTGTACAGACTCACTATGAGTTGGAACTGACTCCATGGCACACAGCCATCACTACTACCCTTTGGAAGAAACCGTATCACAGGGTTGCTGAGTCACAACAGACTCAGTGACACTTGTGCTTGATTGTCACCATCAAGGAACATTATGCTGCACATGAAACTGGAGAATTTAATCTCTTAGGAGCTGTTTAAAAGTCAGGTTTATTAAAGTTTAACTTACATACAA